GAGAGGCAGGAGGAGGGGGGCTTTCAGAGAAAGCATACTTGAGACAGAGGGCTTGGGGTTTGACTGTGAGGTACCATCAGATCTAGGTTTTGAAGATCACTTGGGCTGCCATGGGAGGGAAGGGTAGAGGGAGTGTGGGGTGGAGCCTGCCTCGGGAGTCTTGGATTTGGAAAGAAACTCTTTGCTCTCTGCTAAGTACCCAGGGTGGGTGGGTACTCAGTCTTGGTACTAACATTTTGGGAGAGATGACTTTTGATTGTGGGGGACTGGTGGTGCTTTGCAGGGGGTTTAGCAGCCTCAAGACCTATTTTCTAGGCACCAGGAGCACTGATCTTTGCTCTGTAATTGTGATAACCAAAAATGTTTTCCAGACATTGCTAAATGTTCAGGGGTGGGGGTAGCAAATTTACCACCCCCTCTGTGTGTGTGTGTGCGCGGTGGTGGTGGTTGGGGGGGTGTATGTTTAAACCACTGTTTAAAATAAAACCAATGGAGGGCTGGGCCACACCCCCACTGCAGCAGAACCTGTGCGGGTGTGGTGTGGTGTGGTCAGGAGGGACATTTAGATTGTTTAGAAGCTTCCCAGGTTATTTTGCTGAGTGACACAGCATTGCTGGTCTAGTCCAGCCTTCTTCATCTATAAATCTGAACACGGAAGTGCAGAAAAGAGAATGACCTGCTGGATTAGCTCTAAAAGCCAAGATTCCTGACTCAGGCCAGAGCTCATTCCATTAGACTGTGTCACCACCTCTCAGCCGCACAGCGCCCTCCCAGGGAAGAGCAGCCCAGCCTCCCAGAGTTACTAACTCAGACTGGCTCCTCCTGCTGTTATATTTAGGGTGACTGAAGTATCCTAATGGGTTTGGCAAAAATGGACAGAAATTTCCTCGGTAAACTACTCAGGAACATAATCCTGAGGCCCAGCTAAGAGGGAAGCTCTTGCCCTCAAGGAGTTTATATTCCAGGGGCAGGAAAACACATCATTTCCATAAAATGCAGCTAGAACTGGGTGGAGTGCTACAGGCTGCAATGGCAATGATGCCTGAAGCCCCAGCAGGAGGAAGTTCTGTGACAACCCCCCTCCTGCCCCCCTAGGGGTATGCAGCAGCCACCAGCAACTGCTAGCAGTTTCAAGTGGCTGGAGGGCAAATGGATGGCTAAGTACACTAGCTGCAAAGTTTGACCTCCCCACCATCCCAGAGGGTACGTGACCTTTTCCAAGTTGTGCAATTGGTGACCAATGAGCTGGTCACCAAGGAGTAGCTTCCTAATCAAAGTCTAGATGACTCAAGACTCTTGGGCTATCCTGTGCCTCTGGGCAGTTCCAGGCGAGATAGGGGGAGGTGCAGCTGTGGGCCGGCCTGAGATCCAATGGTACTGGGGGTCATGTCTGCTGGGAAGGCATTACAACAATGAAGGTTTTGGACTTCCCAATCTGGCAGAAGGCTGTGCAATGAGGCCTCCCATGGCCTCGCCAGCCCTGGATTGGCTTTCTGTAGTCCTAGCAGCAGTCACTGCACCCTGAGCTACACCCCAGGTTCCAGACACTGTGTAGAGCTGCACAGCAGTAGACCTACCTGCTGCCCTTTCTTGAAGCCCCTGCCTGGTTTGGTGTTGGGGTGAATACTGGCAATCTGGTGATGCCCACCCTGTCTAAGAGGCTTCAGGACTTGGGTAGGGAGAGGAAACTGGCTTTACTGTCTACAGGGCCCAGTGACCTAGTTTTCTGAAGTACTTGTGACAGTAGTAAGTGATTTTCAGTCAGGCAGGCTCGGGCCATGTCATTCTTGCTCTTCCCCAGGCTTCTTGCCAGTGCCTCCTTCCTTTTTCTGTGTCTTGGGCCTGCCTCCTTCAGCCCTGGGATGGGGGAAGATAGTGATGCAGATTAAGGTTTTGTTGACTGTGTCATCAAGTGTAAGTCTATAAAGAAGACTCTTTTTGGAAAATCAATTTGTTTCATCGGGTAATAAGGCCCCTGGACTGGTTTGGCTTACGACAATGGCTAAGTGTGCTGGGCACACTATGGCCACTCTTAGGCAGTATTTTTTTATCCCAGTTTTAAGAGATGTGTTTTTGGTCAGTGACTTGAAGGCAGGGCCAAGATCTGGATCCAGAACAATGCAATTTCAAAGCATAGAGAATCCTGATCCACTCATCTGATTTAGTGGGTTCAAGTCAAGCAATCTGCATCTCACCCAGGTAAATCCCCAGCGGCGCCTGGCCTCACCTCCCTTTCCAACCCCTCCGCGACTGGCCTAGGGGGAGGGGAGGGAAGGAGCGGTCCCAGGATCTCAGGTAGCAGAGGGCTTAGGTGGGGGGCCCAGTCAGAAGCATTTGTGGGATTTTACAAATAACCTGAAGCCGGGGCAGTACTGCAACATCGCAGAGACAAGCGATGGCAGGTCCTGAGGTGCAACCAGAGCCTGGAGAAAGCTCGGGAGGGGGTGACTCGAAGGCTCTGGTGACAGGACAAGGCCGGGTCGTCCGAGGCGGGGGAAGAGGTTTGGGGGTGGGGGGGGGAGGCGCTGGGCGTCCCACACTCTCACCTGCCACGGGTGCTCCCAGATCCAGACTGGCCGATGAATATACTCGTCGCGCTTCCCTAATTCCGTGGACTTTCACTTTCCCCCTTTCATAAAACCTAGAACCCCCACGTCAGAAGTACCTCGCCAGCCCCTCCTCGCGAGGACACGGGCTCCGAGCGAGCGGGGAGGGCCCGGAAGTCGGGCCTGTAACTGAGGACCTGGCGGTAGCCTCCCGGACAGAAGCGGCAAGTGAGGCGAAGGGGCGGCCTCTCCCAGCACCGCGCGGGGTAGGAACCTGAGGGCGGTCTGCAGAGCGAAGGAGGCTGGGGGTGGGGGGGGGGGGGGGAGGCCGCACACGCCTCCCGTCGGGCGTCCCGCCCGGGCCGCGGCTCCGCCGTCGTTCCCGCGGTCACCTGGCACCTGCAGAGCCCGGGGGGTGGGGTTGGGGGTGGGGGTGGCGGCGGGGGCGGGCGGGCTTCCACCCTCAGCCCCCCACCCCTGCTTCCTCTGTCGGGACGGTGCCCCGGCCGCCTGTGGGTCAGCGAAGGGTTAAGAAGGCTAGTCTCCTCCCCTCGGCCCCTTCACTCTTGGAAAGTCCCCGAAATGACGTTTCAACCCGACAATTAAAAAAAGAGCTTAATTACAGAGCCAGGCTCGGGGAGCTGGAAGAAACCCGGTCGATTGGCGGGGCCGGTAAACAACTCGAGCGAGCGAGCCAGGCTGGCCGCCGCCCGGCGAAACTCGCGCCCCGGCAGCCGGGGAGGGGAGGGCCCGCCGGGAGTTGGAAAAGCGGAGGAAATTCGAGGAATCGGCGTTCTCTTTGGCTAGCCCGGGGCGCAAGGCCGCGTGATGGTACCTCTGGCCAGTCCCGCAGCGGCTGGGGGAAAGCGACGTCAGCCGGAGCGGGGAAACAGCGGGTTCGGGCCGGCAGGGTCCCGGGCCGGGAAGGCAGCCCCGCCTGCTCCCGTCGGCCCCCCTCTCTCCTCAGTCCCCTAGTCCCCCCAGTCCCCACGCCCGGGCCTCCTCTGTACCCCTGGCAGGGCTTCGTGAACTCTCGGGGGTTAAAGACCAACGAGCCCTTTATTTTCGGGGGAGGGGGTGTGGAGAAAAATACCGAAATAGTTTCACTTCAGGACGCAAACTAACCTTGTGGTTTCAACGCGCACCCAACTCCGTCCTGAAATCTGGAACTCATTACTTCATCACCAAGAAACTGCACGAACCCCCCCCCCAACACCCCCTTTTTGTAGCTGAGGAAAGGAGAGAGAGCAAACAGCTCTTTAAGAAAGAAACTTACATTTGAATGATTTAAATTAAGGTGGATGGAAGTTATTTCCCTTTCTGGCGCTTGCCAGATTTCAAGAAAAGCTGAAAAATGGGAGCAGGGGGAGGGAAGCAACAGGCGGTTGGCCAGCAGAAGAAAAAGCAAGGGGCAGCAGCCAGATTAAAAAATGGGGCCATCAGTTTAAGTCAGAGGGTACAAATAAAAGCAAACCCGGCTGGGTATCACGTAGGTTCTTGCTGCAGCAAAAGTTGTGTATTTCGCAAAGATGAAACTGTTCCTAAAACTGTTGTGATTTGGAAGGTTTCCCGGGGTTTGCTCGGAGTTGACGAATAAATAAGAAATGCAATAAAAAATGCGCGCGCGCGTGTGCGTGTGCGTGTGTGTGTGTGTGTGGAGGGTGTTGAGAGCTCCACTCGGCCCGCCCCATCCTTTCCAAAGAAACGTGTTCATAATGGGGTGACCTAATTACATCGCAATGGAACCCGCTCTTAGCCACTCAGCGCACGGGGTTTCATAACAGACCCAGCGGCCTCGAGTGCTGGGAAGAAATGTGCAAGGGCCCAGGCGGCGGCCTGGCACGCGGGGAAATAGGAAAAAAAACGCAGCCCGGCGATTTCCGCTTGGGTCGTCACTTCTGCGCCCCAGCGAAGGAGCAGGGGGCGAGTAGAGTACAAGTTAACAATTTCTTATTTGTGTGGGTGGCAGGCCAGACTATCCTAACAGTAAACAAATATATTTTATAGTCTTTGAAAGAGTAATTGGGGGTCTTTCGGTTTCGAGGAGTCCGCGCTTCCCCTCCCCCCTCCCGCCAAAACTGCGCAGCGTGACAAGCCATATGTTCCGTTCCCTTCGGGGCGGAGGAGCAGCAACAATAAGTTCAAAGGGTCGCCTCCCCCCACTTCTTTACCTTCATTCTTACCAAAGTTACTTTTCATTGTTAAGCGTCTAGGCGGGTGGGGTGGGGTGGGGTGGGAAGTTGAGCTCGGCCCACGGCACAGCGTGCGCGTGGAAAGTGGTGCCTTGCTGGGTGGGTTTATGGGGTGGGGAAGCTTTGGAAGGGACATGCGTGAGGATTCGGATTTTGTATTTTTAAGTTTAAAGATTGGGTGCGTGAAGAAATGTCATTCCCAGGCTTGTTAAAACAGTATGCCCAGGAGGTGGTCTTTCTCCCTGTCCCTGCGTCCCTGCTCGCTGCAAAGCGAGCGCGAGTGTAGACTCGTGCAGCGCTGGCCCCCGCCAGACCAGGTTCTCTCCAAGGAAAAAGTCTCCCTAGCCAAACCTCCCCCCCCCCTTCATCTCCCGCGGGAAAAACTTAAAACCCTAGACTTGAACACTGTGTGCGTCCCACGTGTCCAAACTGCCGGCCCTGCGGGTTTGCGGAGCGCAGCCGAGTGAGAAAGAAAACTCCGGCAAAGAGTAAATTGTGCGGGAGCCTGGGGAAGTTTTAAGGGAGATCTGCTCAAGATGGAAACCACAGCCAGGGCGCTAAGGACCGGCTTCTGCTCCGGCTTGCGAAAAGAGAAAGTCGAGCCCGCCTTCCTCCCCGACAAAAAAAAAAAACAAAACCAAACACAACACAACAACAAGCACCCCGAAGAGGGTGGAATGAATGATGTCACAGAGCCGCGCTCCGAGGCTGACAAAGGGGGGGGGGCGCGCCCCTCCCCCTCTGCGCCTCGCGCGGCCCCGGAGCGGGGCGTCTCCAGCGCTGGGTAGCGAGGCGAGCGGTCGAAACTTTTCCTCTTTAAGAAAAAAAGTTGTGCACGGCTGGGAGCGGGTTTTTTCTTCGCCTTCTTTCCTCGTCTCCCCTCCCCCTTCTTCCTTTTGAAAGTTTTTTTTCCCCCGAGTTTGACCGCATGGCTGATTCAACTTCAGTGTCAATCAACTTTTTTTTCCTCCACTTCCACATTTAAATAAGTTTTAAGCTCCTCCTCTTCCCCCGGCCCACCGAATCTGAAACTATAAATTGGGCTTCGCGCGCCGCAGCCCGGGAGTCAGAAAGGCAAGGGGCGCCGGGCGCGGGCGTGTGGGACTCCTGACGGGAGAGCCGGAGGCTGCGCCTTCCCCGCAGCGGGACCTTCACCACCTACCAAATTCTAGTCCCTGCCCCGTGCGATCGCCCAGAATGACCACCATCTTCGACTTGAGCGAAGTTTTATGCAAGGTAAAGTGGGGCGGAACGTTTACTTTGCCAAGTCTTTTTCTGATCTCTTCGCTTTAAAAAAGAACTCCCGAAGTTTAGGTATTGGAAAGCAGGGCGAAGGAGGCGGTGAGATGAGATGGTCCTTTTTCCTCGTCCCATTCCCCCTCCAGTTTGAAGGAATTTGGTTCCTCTGCATTCCACCCTTGAGTTTCAAAAGTTCCTGGTGGAGGCTACAGGGGAATCTGGAGACCAGAGTTTTGGGGGGCGAAGTTTGCGTGGCAGGCTGCCTTTGGGGACACGGGGCAGCTGGGATGGGGCACTTTTTCGGTGATTCTTGAATCCGGAACGCGCTGCTGAGGCCAATTGGGCTGGTCTGCTGGGTTTCCCGGGGTGCGCTCTGAGTCTGCAGCCACTTTGCCGGCCTGTGGGACTGGGAGCGGGCTCCCTCGGAGAAGTGAGTCTTGGGAAGATGTTTTGCTGGGATATTTCCCCCCTTTGTTTTGGGGCGGGGACTGGGAATCTGCGAGGAGGAAAAAGACCAAGAGTTCTGATTCAAAAGGATGTTGCAAAACGACTTCGTAGTGGGGCTTCTGTTGGTCCAATCGTGCCTGGGTTTCCTCCACTTGTGGCTCATCCAGCTGAAGATTTGGGGGCTGAGGGTTGGCTTGGCCCACTTGTTTGTTTTCTGAAGGGTCTCGGTTCACTGGTATCGAGAGGCTAGGGCTGGGATGCCAAGACAATATGCGGGCCTCAGCTCTAGGGTCTTAGCCAGTATGGGTTTAATGGGGGCTTCCATTTTTTAGGCGTGTTGTTTGCCAGCTGGGTGCTAAAGAATGCTAGTTTGAAACCTGGAATGTAACAGGGGTGCTGTTTAAGTATACATAGCAAAAGCCTATGGATTTTGTTAAGGTTTTTTCGTCCCCCTCGCCCCAATTTGAAAGCGGGAAGCTGCTGGGCCACTTATAATTGCTAAAGTGTTTTGCCTTCTTTTAAACACGTTGGGTCATGTTGCTCTCTTTCCTAGCTTGCTTCTCCAGTCGGCTCAGCTGCCAGGGCCTCAGGGCTGCAGGGTTGGGGTGCAGAGACGCGGTGGAACTGAAGAGCAACATCAAAAAAAGTTTGAATTTCAGCTTCTTTTCCTGGCTGTGCTTCCCCAAACTGCAGTTACCCTGGCTGCTGGCTGAGCCCTCCTACTGCAAGGCCCTTTTCCCTTCTCCAGGCTCCAGCCCTTTGATCTAGTGCTTTTCTTTCCCTTGGCCCCCTTCCCCCACAGTACTTTTTAAATGAACCTCATTGTTGGAAACCAGCTCTCAACTTGGTTCCTGTAATCCGCTCCGTGGGGTGGTTGCTGTTACAGATTCCTGGTCCTTCACAACTGATCCTAGGGGACCAACTTTAGAATTTGCACAATGACACCCACACGGGCAGAGAGCCAACTTGCAGTTCCCCTGTTAGCGCCCTTTCCAAACTCTGGGTACAGCTTGGGCAGGTGACTAGGGTCCCATTGGAACAGAAATCTGCCCGTGGTGACCCTGCCCTCCCTCTTCAAATCCAAATCCACTGTTAACCGGGGGCAGTGAATGGGGGGGATTTCGTGCTTTTCTCCCTTCCCACCTGCAGCTTGACGTTAAAGATTAAACCCTTGCTCTGCTCTTGCAACCAGGAGACTAATTGTAAAGACATCTTTCCTGCGGCGAGGGAGGTGGTGGGCAGGGAATGGTTGGGGTGCTCACTGAAGGGCACCCCTTCTGTGGATGTGTGGGGTGATTAGTTAAGTTTTCAGGAATCATCTCTCTTCAACCTCAGGGGTTTCTCTTGCTGTTCCCTCACCCCCACTCCCCAGCAAGTTAAATGCAGGGGCATTCTGAAAACCTGTTGCCAGAGGAAAGGAGGAAGTTGAGAGTCTTGGGCCAGGTTTGGGGGGGTGGGTGGGTAATTAAGCAGGGACTTACTTACTAAAAGGGGATGTAGCTCTTTGTTGCTCATGGTCTCCTGAGGTTTACTTGATTTTTTTAGGCGCAGAGGGGGAATCTAGAGGAATGATTTGTATGAACTATTTTGAGCCCAAGCATTTATTTAGGAGGTAAAGAAGTTGAGTTTTACGGATAAAATGCCAGCTCTGGGCAGAGGACATGGGGGTACATTCCAGGAGTTGGCCTGGAGGTTGGAGTGCATGCATAAAACACTTTCTCAGATAGGCCAAGATCTTGTGGCTTCAAGCATGGGCCCTGGAAGCTGGTTTGTGGGAGAGAGTGGGAAGGGGGCAGAGGTAGAGCTGGTTCCTTTGAGAGAGATGGGGCATTTCTCTGACTGTGGAGAGGCTGTCCTGAGTGGGCCTTCTTGGGCCTGGTGAATGGCCCTTATCACTCACCAGTCTTTTTCTTCCCTTCAGGGAAACATGCTCAACTACAGTGCTCCCGGTGCAGGGGGCTGTCTGTTGGACAGGAAGGCGGTGGGCACCCCTACTGGTGGGGGCTTCGCCCGGAGGCATTCAGTCACCCTGCCCAGCTCCAAGTTCCACCAGAACCAGCTCCTCAGCAGCCTCAAGGGTGAGCCGGCCCCAGCTTTGAGCTCTCGGGACAGCCGCTTCCGAGACCGCTCATTCTCAGAAGGGGGCGACCGGCTGCTGCCCACCCAGAAGCAGCCGGGGAGTGGCCAGGTCAACTCCAGCCGCTATAAGACGGAGCTGTGTCGCCCCTTCGAGGAGAATGGTGCCTGTAAGTACGGAGACAAGTGCCAGTTCGCGCATGGCATCAACGAGCTCCGAAGCCTGACCCGCCACCCCAAGTACAAGACGGAGCTGTGCCGCACCTTCCACACCATCGGCTTTTGCCCATACGGGCCCCGCTGCCACTTCATCCACAACGCCGAGGAGCGCCGCGCCCTGGCCGGGGCCCGGGACTTCTCCGCTGACCGTCCCCGCCTCCAGCATAGCTTTAGCTTTGCTGGGTTTCCCAGTGCCGCTGCCACCGCCGCTGCCACAGGGCTGCTGGACAGCCCCACATCCATCACCCCACCCCCCATCCTGAGTGCGGATGACCTTCTGGGCTCACCCACCCTGCCCGATGGCACCAATAACCCATTCGCCTTCTCCAGCCAGGAGCTGGCGAGCCTCTTTGCCCCCAGTATGGGGCTGCCGGGGGGTGGCTCCCCAACCACCTTCCTCTTCAGGCCCATGTCCGAGTCCCCTCACATGTTTGACTCTCCCCCCAGCCCTCAGGATTCTCTCTCGGACCAGGAGGGCTACCTGAGCAGCTCCAGCAGCAGCCACAGTGGCTCAGACTCCCCCACTTTGGACAACTCAAGACGCCTGCCCATTTTCAGCAGACTTTCCATCTCAGATGACTAAAGCAGGGTAGGGAGGGACCCCCCTGCCTGCCACCTCCCACCCCACCCACATCCCCTGCCTTTGCCTCCCTCCCTGTCCAGCCCGACATTAACAAGGTTAAGCTCAACCCCTTTTCCCCCAGAACCTTGGAAGCCTCCCTGCCGCTCCCCCTTCTTAACCCCCCCTCTCCCCCCAACATAAGGACAAGTCAGTTTGTCGATAGCTTCCTCTGGCTTGAAACCCCCTCCCCTCGAGTTTATAACCCACTTACCATGCAGAACAGACAAGTCCCATATTTGTCAGTAGATGCCTTTTTTCTCCTCCCGGCTTAAGCCTTAAGTGCCAAATCACAAAAGAAAAAGCAGTAACAGTTTACAGAAGCAACTTTAGTGCCTTGTAATCTAACTTTGTCACTGTGACTACATTACCTCTTCAGCGCCAGAGGGCACCCGTGGGCCTCCTGGAGCCTCTGCCCATGGGGAGGGGGAGGGGGACCCAGAACCAGCAGCTCCCTCCACTGGCGACACAAGCACCTTCCCTAACACACCTCCCCTCTCTTCCCAGGACCCCCCCAACCCGTCATCCCCCTTGGGAGAGTTGTTGCCAGACTTGGGTTTTTGGGGAAACCTATCTTGACATTCAAAACCTTTTCCTTCACGGCCCGAACCTCTTTGAATAATCTTGCCCGGGTTCAGTAGGTCTACAGGAAGGAAAACCGAAAAAGCGGACGAAGATTGTGACATAAGTGGGACTTTGTGATTTTAATTTTTTCATTTTTTTTTTTTAAGTGGGGAGGAAGGGGAAGCTAGATGGACTATGAGAGACTTGATTTTGGTGCTAAAGTTCCCCAGTTCATATGTGACATCCATAAAAAAAATAACAAAAAATGAGAGAAAAGCTAAAAAAAACCATGTGAGGGCTGAGCAGTTAATGGTATCCATTCCACATACAATATCTGTAAGACGATTTCCCGTAGAAGTAGCTTTAATGGTTTTGCTCTAGAATACCGTAGGTCTGTCCTTAGAGCACTCACGCCATGCTTTTTTCCCTGGGTTTTAAACTTCATATAACTTTCAGAAATTGGAGAGCAAAAATTTTGCTTGTCACTGCACATCAATATAAAAAAGCTTATTTAACTTATCAAAACGTATTTATTGCCAAACTATGCTTTTTTTTTTTTGTTAATTTTGTTCATATTTATCGGGATGACAAATCCATAGAATATATTCTTTTATGTTAAATTATGATCTTCATATTAATCTTAAAATTTTGTGACGTGTCTTTTTCCTTTTTTTCCACAGTTTTAATATATTATTCTTCAACGACATTTTTTGTAACTTTACACTTTTTTTGGTTATTTTATTTTAAAAAAATGAAAAATTAATTTAAAAAAAATGCAAAAAACTGTTGGATTATTTATTTTAGAAATTTCCCCCCTTTGTGTTGGACTGCAAATTGAGTTTCTTTCTCTTTAGGCCTTTCACAACTAGGACTGAGAATGTATGTAAAAGTTCTGTGACAGTACAGAAGGAAAACAACTTTTTATGTATAGCTTCTAAAAGGGAAAAAAAATAAGAGAAAACCCTTTGACTTCCATGTGCCCGTTTCAAGACATTCCGATCACAGATTTGAGGTTCTGGATTCCAGGTTTGGAGTTTTCCAACGTGACTTCAGACAGAACTGGTGCACACACACACACACACATACATTAAGATGAATGTAATTATTATTCCTCTTGCTGGTCACTACCGTCGCTTTCTATTTCTCTTTCTTTGTGTGAATTTATTTAAAAGAAGAACTTTTTGTAACGACTATTTGCAGTTTAAAAAAATCAATAAACCCCATTTTTTCAAGAAAGTGCTGGTGATGCTGTTCTGCTTTGTAGGCTTGCCCTTCGGGTGTGCTGGTTGGGAGGAGAGAGGGTGGGGGCTGGTTCCCCCTTAGCCCTTTGGTTCATGCTGCCTGTTGGCCGCTCCCAGGGGAGCGAAGGAGCTGTTTGTCTATTTTCCACCCAATGTGCTGGCTGTTCAGGGGCTGCCTTGCCCACCTGAGTAGCCTTGGAGGTTTTTGGGGAGTTAGAAGCATAGGGACTGGCCAGCTTTACATTGCCTGGCCTTCAGGTGGTATTTCAGTGAATGGGGTGACCTATCACGTGGTGTTTAGTGAGCCTCCAGTTTTGAGTATTTATTTAGGTGCTTCCAGACCTTGTTTCTCAGAAAAATTGACCTGAAGCCCTAGTCATTCTTTCCACTCTTCCCTTAGTGTGGGCACAATGAAGCATGGCAAGCGTGGAGAAGTTGTTCCAGGGTAGTGAGGGTCTCAGTCACGGCTCTAGGGGTGCCAGAGTAGTAGCCCCTGATTCCCACCTGTGCTTCGTTTATTTGGAGGTGGCTGGGCTGATTTAAATGGCCAGCCAAATGTGGGGAGTGGGCAGTAATCCCTCCCACCTTACTCTGTCACACCCTTGATGCTATGCAGAGGAGGGGGTTTGCCATCTTGGGAAGTGTGGGGTTCCCTTGTCTAGAAGTACCCCAACCAAGGCCACATGCCCACTTGGAGGGGAATTTCACTGACTAGAAGGGATGGATCCTGAGATCCTTGAGGGGTTCTAGGGGAGATCTTTGTTGGGAACTGGGAATGGATATCGCTATCTGAAACATGGCTTTGGTTCCTTGCATTCAGGTTTGGCGGGGGTGGGGGAGTGGGGGGGTGGTGGTGAGCTGAATTTCTACCCTGATACTACCCAGCAGCCACAAAAGCAGAGGTCTGTAGCAGACACTGGCCAGGCCAGGGCTGTTCTTGGGGAAGTTACACCTTAGGGTCTGACTTCTATCTGGTCTGTAGGTGCCTCTGGGGGCAGGGATGTGAAACAGACTAGGGGCTGTTACCTCTTCCAGCATGGGGGTAGAAGCAGCCCTTTCTGTCGCTGGATCCTAGACGTCTTGTCCCATAAGGAGGGACTGACTGTGTGTGCACGTGGTTGGCAGGTGGCAGTGGAAGTGGCATGTGATCTCTGGCAAAAGCAAAAAAATTTCATAGTTCACCTTGAGCTCATTACCTGCAGGTATAGAAGAGCATATGGCAAACATCTTTCTCATTCTGCAGCAGTTTGTGACTCTGGCTGGACTCAGAGGGAGCATAACATCTCACCTGGCCTGTCCAGAATTGTCCCCTTGTAGTCAGTCCCTAAGTTAACAAAGACAGAGGCATTGACTCTGGAAGGTGCTGAGGAGTTGGGAGGGTGGGTTGGTGGAGGAGGAGTTGGCTACAAGGTCTGGGGAAACTCTAGCCCAGCCCACCGGAGAGTCTCCATGAGAATCTCACACAGGCTGGGATTTAGTCCCAGGTCCTTGCAAACTCCCTGGAAGAGTCTGATCCTCTACTGTCTAGATCTTCAAGGTGGAGGAGACAGGTCCAAAAGCTACTTGGGAAAGGAAACAGAGGAATCTTTCCAGGCTTATTTTTCAGGATGTTAGAATCTTTAAGAGGCCTCAGCAGTGGCTCTGTGCTCCAGCCTGGCAGGGAGCCCAGAGTTGGCAGAGGACCTCCACCTCTGAGCTGATCTTTGCAGGGGGAGGGGAGGCGAGGGGCAGAGCTGGAGGTAAGGCCTACACAAGGTGAGCAGGCACGAAAGATGAGGTCTGCCTTTGTCAGCCGATTTCCTGGACAAGAGGTCTACTTTCCTATTTCCTGCGCTGGACCTTGGGGCATCTCTGGTTTGGGGGTCTGCACAAGGTCTGTCCTGTCTGGCTAGGGCCTCCTGGCTATTGTCTTGGCAACCCACCGCCTAGTCTTTGGCTGAAGATCTCCCTTTGGAGCAACTCACAGAATGCTCTGTTTTGGTCACTGAGCAATGACTTACCTTTCTAGACCTGAAAGCCTCATTTGAGGATCTGCTGTACCTCCGTGGCACTTGGTGAAAGAGGGCTTTGAGAGAACAGGGGGCATGGCTCATGAAGCAGTGGTTATCCAAGGGGCAGAGGTTTCGTGGTGGGGGAGGTTCATGGCACAGTGGAAAGTGTATTGGAGCCCTTGGGCCTGGGTTCAGAACCCAGCTCCCCTTAAACCAGCTGTGCCTTGGGTAAATAAATGACTTGGCCTTGGATTTTGCCTCTGCATGCCACGGGGTGACTGTGAGGATTAAGTGACAACCTTTCCTAAGGGTCTGCAGGTCTTGGGTGCACATGGAGGAAGGTCTAGGCCCTCCCCATCTTACAAGCAGGGTGCAGAGAAGTTCACTGATTGTCACATGGCTTGGGGCATCTGGGCTTGAACCCAGGTGGGCTCGCTCCCTCGCTGCCTGTCACCACCACAGCCCAGGCTGGTACACGGAAAATATTTGGCACAGTCGCTGGCACAGAGTAACTGCAAATATTCCGGTATTAGTTCTCATGCCCCTTAACTTTCTGTGCAGATCTTGCAGGGCAGCCCGTTGGAGAGATGGCTCTGTACACACCCTTTCACCCAGTCTCTCGCTCCCTCGTCCCATGAGGCTTGGGCTTGGAGTGTTTGGAGAAGGGTGCTGGGAGGAGGGGGCAGGCCACCTCGTGGACTTTCCCCTTCTCTGTCTGCTGTGGGGTGGCTTCTGTTAATGACTGACAGAGCCTGAGTGCCTGAGGGCCGTCTGGGGAGTTGGCCCTGTGCCTTTCTTTCTCCAGGGTCTCTCCCCACCTGCACGCAGCCAACCATTTAATCACGTCTGGCTGGACTAACTGGAACGCTACCTGAGTTCAGAGGGGGAGGGGCAGAAGCCATCAGGCAGGCTCCTCACCACCCCCTTCTGCCTTGCAGATGGCCCTCCTCGGGGTGGCCTCTGGTCTTGCGGGCAGAGATTCAGAGAGTCTGTGAGCAACTCTCTGAAGAAGTCAGGTCAGTACCACTGGTCCCTGTGGAGGTGGGTTAAAGCTTGGGTTACAGAGAAACTTCTGGCCCGAAGGCCTGTGTTGCTTTCTCAGGAATCCCCTAAGGTTTCATTTGAGTTGCTGTTGTGGGAAATGTGTGTCTGAGGAGCCAAGCAGGGTTTGCCCAAATGTCAAGGCCGGGTTTCCTCCTCCTGTTGTCGGGACTCACTGTTGGTCAGGGGATGGGGATGTCTCCATCGTGTTTAGGTTATTTGCAATTGTTTTGACATGTTGGCGAAACCAGGTCTCAAGGTACAGGGCTGGGAGTGACGACCGTACCTGTGCTATCAGCTTGGGGTAGAGTGAAAATAAATATTGGCAATGGTCAAACCTGAGGTAATTTTCTCACTCCCTGCGTCCAGTCAGGTAGCTGCCCCCTAACTTCTAGTTTGTAACTCAAGGAGAAGGAACTCATGACCCCATGAGACAGAGTTCACTTCTGCCCTCCCCACTACTCCAGAAGGTGCAAGTCTCTATTGCCCAGGATAAGGAATTGCTTTGGAACTAGAGGGACCTGGGTTCAAGTCCCCATTCAATGTCACCTCAATCTGTGACCTTGAACTGAAAACTTAGCAAGCAGCTCGGGCCCCAGCTTCCAGTGTTTGCAAACTGGGATGATGGTGACACTCAATTCAGTGGATAAATAAACTGGTACAGTCACACATGGGAATATTATGCAGCTGTATAAAAGAACAAGTGACTGGCAGACATAACAACATGGGTGACTTGCAAAGACATTAAGTTGAGTGAAAGGGCCAAAAAAGGCTATGTGAATCCAATTATATGAGGTTATTAAGTAGACAAAACTGACTGACATTGGTAGAGATTCAACTATAAGATAGAGTATATGCACATAAAGTTCATTAAGTTGAATGCTGAAGATTTATGCACTCTGCTGCATGAAATTCTCCCCTAAAACAAAACAAAACAAAACAAAACCAGGCTAGTAAGTAAAATTAGCCATCTGTCTTAGAAGAGTTCTCTTTGCAGATTCAAAATAAATCTCCTGTAGCTATTTGGTGTTGCTTACACTTTGTGTGAGGTAGCTGGAGGTCAAAATTGAGACCCAGTGGGGTTCTGAGGGCCTGGAGAGAGGAGAGCTTGTCTGGGAAAGCCAGCATCTAGGAGACACTGTTTTGGGAGTCACTGATATGGTCTGTCAGTCCCAGTCTACCCCTCAGTAAGGCTGATGGTGGCTGTGAGGCTGCTGAGGGGCCTGTTTGCCTTAGGTGGGCTTTGGGGATGGCCTGACTGGCCCAGCCTGTCTCTGGCCTTCAGGTTTAAGGATGCATTTCATTCCACTTTGTTTTGTTCTATTTCAGCAGGTCTTGGTTCCAGCAGCAGGAAAAATGTTTTTGGACCCAACAGAAGGAGATGCCCAGCTCAACCCATGCATCTGGCCACCCAACTCTCTGGAGACAGGTTTTTGCAGGACTGAATTTCTTTCATGCAGTGTGTGAACAGTAGTCTTGCTGCTTTAGGAAGAACCCAAGATGTGGGGTCAGGAAAAAGGGTGGAAGCAGATGCTCCTTTCTTAGGTCAAGGAAGTGAGTGATTCCTTACATCTATACCCCAAACAACTCACCAGCTCCCTGGATTTGTGACCCTGGTCAGTCATCTGCAGCTGTGTGACCGTGGGCAAGTCACGTAACCTCTCTGAGCCTTGTTTTCCACCTCTAGCCTGGGCCCTCTAGCACCCCCTTGCCCACCTTATGGGGTTGTGGTGAAGATCAGGTGAATCTGAACAAAGAGTTTTGGGAACTAAAAGCCCCGGACAAAGCTGGTATTGAGGGTGTGGGGATGGCTGTCAGCCTTCAGGGTGACAGAGCCCTTCCTGCACAGATGTTTTAGTGGTATAACCTACTACATGTTGCTGTTTCAGCCCATTAACCGGATTTCCTGCCTCAAACTCACGTGTGATGTTTATGTTGTACATGATTTTTACATTTTACCTAT